TGGCTAAGTTACGAATACGTCAATTTTATGTGAGGGAGGGCAAACGCATTAATCAATTGCGGTATGGTTTGTCAAATTACTTAGAATCTAGATTACAGAATTGTTACGAGGGGGGGGGCGGTGGCCGGGGTGTACCCGGTGGAGGATATACACATGTTGAAGGACAGAATACGGGATTTGCAAGAAGAACGTTTTGCAGCTGTACAGGTACAGGGGGTTAGACGAAGTATCTGGGGCGACAAGCCATCAGCTTGTGTGCTGCGAGGACAGAAGGTACGACAGCGAACGACTACAATACCGGGTTTGCAAGTCATATCTTCTGTGGGGGGTTTTAGAGAGGGTCAGGTATTAAGGGACACCAAGGGGATGAGTGCATATGCAGATAGATGGTTTGAGGAATACGGGAAAAGTAGTGGGGTGGATGGTGAGGTTCTTGGGAAGGTATGTGAGTATGTGCTGTGCAAACTGGGGAGGAGTGATCGGGAGGCACTGGGTGGGGTCATTGAGGAGGGGGAAATATGGAGAGCCCTTATGGACATGAGGAAGGGTAAGGCACCCGATCGATGGTTTACCTAGCGAATTTTATGTACAGCACTGGGGTCTGCTTAGGGGTTTCCTAGTAAGGTTAATGAATGCCATGAAAGACGGAGGTAAGATGGGAGAATCTCAGGCAACGGCGGTGGTGGTGTTGATCCCAAAGGGTAAACAGCAGAGTACCCTTCAGGATTATCGAGCCATTTCATTGCTTTGTGCTGATTATAAATTATTTGCGAAAATTCTTGGGAATCGGCTTAAATGTGTTGTGGGGAGGGTCGTGTTTGAGTCTCAGTTTGGTTTACCTGGTAGGTCAATGAGCGTGGGCCACGGGGTTATCAAGGGGTTCCTGGAGGACATGGAAAGGGAAAGAGGGGCGTTGGTGGCGTTTGATTGGCAAGGGGCTTATGATAGGGTGGAAAGAAAGGCTTTGAGGGATATTCTCCTACGACAGGGTTTGGCGAAGAAATAGTGGGGTGGGTGGATACGTTGTACTCAAACGCGAAGGTAAGGGTGCAAATCAATGGGTGTGTGGGGGGGGGGAGTCAACATGGAGCGGGGTCTTCGGCAGGGATGTCCTTTATCACAAATATTGTTTGCATGTGTTCAGGATCCCTTTTATAGGATGGTGGAGGATCGTCTAAGGACGGGGGGAGGGATGGTGAGCTGAAGCCGTGGCCTGGTTTGGTGGGCTATGTTGATGATACCACTATTTTGGCAAGTGAGGAGACACGGTTAGGACTTTTGGGGGAAGTTGTACACACTTTTGGGAGAGCTACTGGGATTTAAGGTAAATCTGGAAAAGTCAATGATCATGGGGCTGGGAGAGTGGACAGAGGGGATTAGATTGGGGATGTGATGTTGTGCAGCGGAGGACCGGGAGTCTGAAAATCTGCGGTGTCATGTATGAGGCTGACCTGAGTGCTGCAAGGGTTAGCAATTCGAATAGGATGGTGGAACAGGTGCAGCGACGGTTGGATGCGCGACCCCCCCATTTCAGTACATTTTGCTACTTCTACTTACACTTAGGTCACACTACACATACATGTACAAGCATATATATACTTACAACCCCCTGGGTTTCTTCTATTTTCTTTCTAGTTCTTGTTCTTGTTTATTTCCTCTTATCTCCATGGGGAAGTGGAACAGAATTCTTCCTCCGTAAGCCAAGCGTGTCGTAAGAGGCGACTAAAATGCTGGGAGCAAGGGGCTAGTAACCCCTTCTCCTGTATATATTACTAAATGTAAAAAGAGAAACTTTCGTTTTTCCTTTTGGGCCACCCCGCCTCGGTGGGATATGGCCGGTGTGTTGAAAGAAAGAAAGATATATAGTAGGTTGGTAGACAGCAACCACCCAGGGAGGTACTACCGTCCTGCCAAGTGAGTGTAAAACGAAAGCCTGTGATTGTTTTACATGATGGTAGGATTGCTGATGTCTTTTGTCTGTCTCATAAATATGCAAGATTACAGGTATGTCTTGCTACTTCTACTTACACTTAGGTCACACTACACATACATGTACACATTATTTATACACACCATCTGAGTTTTCTTTGATTTTATCTTAATAGTTCTTGGTCTTATTACTTTTCCTTTTATATCCATGGGGAAGTGGAATGAGAATCTTTCCTCCGTAAGCCATGCGTGTGGTAAAAGTCAACTAAAATGCCGGGAACAATGGCTAGTACCCTTTTCCTGTAAAGATTACTAAAAAGAATAAGAAGAAGAAAATTGTTAATTCTGTTGTTTATATCATATTTCATAGACCTATTTGCTGACAAGTTCAGCCCCAGATATCTGAACACATTTACCCCCCACCTCCATGGGGAAGTGTAACAGAATTCTTCTTGTCCGTAAGCCATTGCGTCATAAGAGGAGACTAAAATGCTGGGAGCAAAGGGCTAGTAACCCATTCTCCTGTATAAATTACAAAATTAGAAAGAGAAACGTTTTCTTTTATTTTTTGGGCAAGCCCTCCTCGGTGGGAAATACAGCTGTTTTGGGGGGGTTTTATTTATTTTGAAAGATGATGATTTACTTCCTCCATTCTCCCTCCCTCCAATTTGATATCAAATCTTTTATTGCCTTAATTTTTTGTCACTGTCATTATCTTGCTCTTTCCTAAGTCTCCCTCTATCTACTTTTACCCTACTCCTCAAACCTCCACAAAATTAACCACCGACAAGATCTTTATAACTTTTTTCTCAAACAGAACTAACCATCCCAATAGCCTCTCAACATCACTTCTGTATTAAATTTGTTATCTTTTAATCCCACACCTCTCCCCAAAACCCTACCATTCATTGCTTATACAACCTCATTTACAATACAGTATGTTAATTTAAATATAGTAACATCCAACATCATCCCTGCTAAGTCGTACTTTACTTTAACATACTCTTCTCTCCTTCCATACCTTTACCTTGAGCCTCACTGTGTGCATAAAAAATTCCTTTACTGCTTCTTGGTACAGTACAATATTGATTTTCCAGCACCCTTAGTTCAAAAGAGCCCTAACTGGTTTATCAGTTTTTGTGGCCAAGACTTAACAAAGACATGTAATAAAAATTCAGTGAAGACCACCTCTGGACCCTCTAATTATACACCTTTTTGTATGTCTCAATTAACCCATGGTTTACTAATTATTGTAGCTTGGCTAAATTTTAGACATTTACTGGAACTGTATATCTAATCTCATTAAATTAAACATCTAAATCAGCCAGAGTTGTTTCACATGCTTTGATCTTTCCATGTGTAATTTTTCATGCATCAAATAACGATTCATTACTTATGTTCTGTCTTGTAAGTTACGTCAATACAGCCCATTGGATCCGATTAACTCGCCAATACTAAGTCTTTTCAGCTGCACCACAGACAATTTAATTTTTCTGATAATTTGAAGGTGTCCTTAGCTGATTGCTAGTGCACTCAGCTTACACCTGAGGTCCAGTGTGTTTCTTTAAGGCTTCTGTTTATCCATGTTTGCCTATCAGTAAAAATAGGTACCTGGTGTTAGCAAACTTGGGTGGGTCACATCCAGGTAGTGTGTGACCAGATGAGAGGTTGTTGGCAAGATATGTTTTTGCTTAGTACCCATGATGTGTGAAGGTGTAAGGAGCAGATTAAATATATAACATGTATTAATTGTATCACTCGATAAATTATATAACATGTATAATCTGTTGATAGCGTATTATGTTCCACTTGCACTGGTATTGCAATTAAATTTGAATATCTTGAGAGGGTTTTCCTTTCACTATTTCCTTGAAGCATACTGAGTGTATTTTTGCCTTTTTTTGTAACGTGGTCCATCATCAGTTTTGACGAAATTACCTATAAATTATTATTCTTATTTAAGGTATTGTATGTTTGGTAGTCCTGTAGCCATTCATGTGAAGAATAATGTTTCCCTCAGTGACATGTGCATAATAATCCAAAAATGAGGGAACTAATAATGTCAATGATTTATACAATGTTGGTGATTAGTGTTTAGTATTTCAATTGTGTGTGTGTGAGGAGGGGGGGGGAGGAGGGATGAGATGGGTCACCTGTGTTTGCAGCACAGAAGTTTCTAATAAGCGGTGCCTATGTAGTCTGGTTGATTTGTTGCTAGTGTATTATTGGTGATTAGACATTATAGCTTTGAGCATTATATGTGTGAGGTTGTCATTTTAGGAGTTTTTAAATTTATACCGATTTATGTTTGCCTGTGTTATTAGAAAATTTATTCCGTCTTAAATTGTTATATGTTGTAAAAACTCGTATATGAGTAGGACTGTCCAGATGTTGCCCTGGATTGAGTTTGTGTTTAAATATTGTTTTATACTGGAATGTATTCCTTGTCATTTTTTTTATATAATGTACCTTTAAACTTTTAGCATGTATAGTTTTAAATAAAATATAAAAAAAAAAACCTGAGAACTCTAGAAACCCAGACACATTCATCACCTTCAAAACTACCATTAGAAAACATCTTATCTCCCTGATACACCCGTCAACTACTATAACGAATACCACCTGGTTGATTCACACTAACACTCACTCACTCATATGACCATAAACAGAAATATTATCTCAATCATTTAAATAATAATCCTGTGATACTCCAATACTGCAACTATGTACTGTTTCCCAAAAACAAAAGCATTCACATTTGCTAAACTCACATACTAGTATTTAGTCACTTTAGCCAGAGAAGATACCAACTTACCCCAAATTTGTAATATTTTTACAATTAAGATAAAACTAAGGTCTGGCCGTAAATGCCTAGCCATGCTAGCGTTTCTAGTGTACACTCTGTAATCACTATTTTACTACATGTAAACCACACAATAACCCAAATTCTGTATACTCAGCATTGTAATCCTTATAGAGAATAAACTTTGAATTTGAATTTTGAATTTGCCTGTACATTAATTCCTTCGTCCCTGATTTTTGAAAGTTCTATACTGGCTTCTCCAATTAGCATGTTATTGGAGTCATTTAGTAAGAAGGTCAAGAGCCTGAAGACTGATATATTCACCATCACCAAGTAAGTTTATAGGTTCCTTTATTCGTACCTGCTAGGCGAGATTTCTTGCACCATCAGTCATTTATGGCAATGTGTCCTATAAGCCACTTGTGAGGCTGAGGTACCATTATTATTATTATAATCAAAAAGAAGCGCTAAGCCACTGAGGTAGCCACTCAGCACCTCCCCGTGTCACACTCGGAGGCGAGTCCAGACAAAATTCACACCTGGCAACTAAAAAATATATTATCATGAAACACAAAGTCATCGTTATGTATGGCGACCATGGCAGATAGATGAGTGAGACAGTGGTGTGTATGCTGTCATGTTCAAATAAACCCCAACAACCAACAACATAGTGAGACAGGAGAGTCAAGATGGATTCAGTAAAATAAATAAATATAACATGAACCTGGTATCATGGTATAAAAGAACAGCAATTTAGGATTTTTAAGGCCAGTTGCTAACTCAGTTTATCGCTTCGGTTCTCCTTTGTATTCGTGTCTTGACAATACACCGCTTCAATTGGGAACATTTTTAGTTCGTTCCGTTAGTATTCCAAGGGGAACTTTTGTTATGAGTCCCGAATAACCCGCTTTGTACGCAGTTTCTTCCCCAGGAGAGAGGGAGTATGGGCCTCAAAATGTGCTTAAAACTTCAGAAGCCATCAAAACTCCCACAACAATACTTTATATCTGTTTACTTAAGAAGAGTCCAGCAATTTATTTGTTCCAGATTGATTAACCTACATTAGACAGTGTTATATCTTTCGTACCGTCAAAATAAGTATCTAAACGCTACCTCGGTACACCCAGCCTTGAAAATAAAGACTTGGAAGATGGAATCGTCGAGAGGAGGAGCAGCAGACAGACATGTATGAGTGGGGAGTGTGCAAGTTGGTGTGGTGTTAACCAGGCCAAGTATACATGTCCAGCTTGTAGCATTAAGTCTTGTTCTCTCTCCTGTGTCAAGTCACACAAGAAGTGTCAAGGATGTACTGGTATTCGTGACAGAGCTGCCATGGTGCTCAAGGAGGACACTGGATAACCTTTACTCCCCCCTCTAGTGACTACAGGTTACGTAGTTTATTTTTTATACAGGTACAAATAAAGTTGCCGGCATAAATTAATAATCCCATCAAGGAAGGTTCCTTGATGCTGGTGAGGGGCTCATGATCCAGGAAACTGGATCTGTGCTCCAGTTCCTTGAATTTAGCCTGAATACCTTCATCATATGGCTGCTAAGTATGATAATTATTATTAATAATCAAGGGGAAGTGCAAAACCCCCGTTGGATTAAACAGCACGTATGGGGTGAAGAAGGTATTTTATTATTATCACACTGGCCGATTTCCCACCAAGAGGCCAGGTAGGCCCGAAAAGAAAAACTTTCACCATCATTCTGTCAAGACAGTGAAGGAGTGAATGATGTGAAAGTTTTTCCTTTTTCGGGCCACCCTGCCTAGGTTGAGTAATCGGCCAGTGTGATAATAATAATATACCTTACACCCCCCCCCACACGTGCTGTATAATCCAACGGGTTAGCTTACTTCCCCTTGATTAAGAATAATAATAATAAATATCATACATAGCAGCATAACTGTGTAAATTACCAATGAGTTAACCCCAAAAAGTCCGGACAGAGTGATTTTTTCTTTTTTCCAGTGACTTATTTCCATTGGTACAGTAAGGTGGATAGTGCATGTGTAATTAATATAAGTTGCCAAGCATCAGTTCTGAGCGATGTAAAAGAAGATTTCCTTCAGTTAATAACGTATAGAGTTTAATAACTCGGAAAAGGCATAAAAAAACATCAAAAATCTTATCATTTCTTCAAATTCTATGTGACCTCTTGTTGTCTGTGTCCCCCATCTCTGGCAACTTCCCGTCTTGTCCACCTGTGAGTGTGTTTGTGTGAGTGTGTGTGTGTGTTGTGTGTGTGTGGTTTGTGTGTGTGTGTTTGTGTGTGAGTGTGTGAGTGTGTGTGTGTGGTGTGTGTGGTGGCCTCAAACACTCACTATTTGTGCACCAATAACTCATTACATTTGTGGACGGTTGTGGAAGTATGTGAAGTTTGCTCATTACTCTACTAAATCTCTGTTCATGATTGTAAGCCAAAGTATAGAACGTAAGTCACCATCTACAGAATTCATTACCTTTGTAACTAGTGAGCTCATTGCTTTGTACCTAGTTTCAGCTATCAAAACTTTGGGGCCCTGTCCCTGGACCCATTACAACCTCTTGTAATCTGTAAATACCTTGTAACTTGTCATGATTGTGAACAACTTACCTGGAGTTCCATTACCTTTGTAAATTGTGTGTTCATTACCTTTGGTCAATTGGTTAGTTCATTACCGTCTGTAACATTGCTCGAGCTATCAAAACATTGGAGTCCAGGTCCCTGGACCATTAAGTACTCTGTAATCTTTTGACTACCGCCCACAGGATGGTGATGGGGTGCATAATAAACATATTAACTAAAACTAACATAACTTAACCGTAGGATGCACCCACAATGGTCAACTGTTAATAATGCTGACTATGTGGCTCTATGTGAGGTTTTGTAATATATTGTAAATCTAATAGGTAAAGTGGATTTCATTAAGGGATGTTTGTTATAATTTGTAACCAATTCTGAAGCCCAACCCATCCCTAGCTATCGCATGGCCTGAGTATACCCTGGGAAGGCTTTAGGTGGGTGGTGTCAATGCCCCTGCACACGTAGGATCCCTGACCAAGCCTCACTGTGGATCAGGACCTGATCAACCATACTGTTACTGCCATAGTCCGCAACATACCAGGCTGTCAGGTACTAACAGATAAAGTACCTGTCCATTTCCCTCATGAAGGCAGTCCAGGGGTCTATTGGTAAACCCCTTTATGTATACTTGAAAACAATATTAGCCATTCATCCAGCAAAGAGGGATAAATATCAACACTCCATGTTACCTATTTTTTTGTCTAACCCAGCTTGTTGCCTATATATCACACCATGTTTTTCTAAAGTTGTTACGTTGTGTTGATGTAGATTTTAATTTAAACCTAAATTAGCTTTAAGGTAAAGAAAATACAGTAAACCCTCATATAATTTGCTTTGTATTGTGCAAATGTTTTGCCACCATGAGCTTTATCAAGCCATACTAAAACAATACAGTAGACACAGGTATATCTAGTCTTAAGTGAGGTGTAAACAAATAAGTAGTAATATTAGTTTTAAGAGTAATACAATATGGTAGAACAATCAGCTTGTACATGAGTAAAAGGTTATAAAAGCTATTACTCATGTACAAGTTGATTGTTCTACCATATTGTACAGTGGAACCTTGGTTTTTGTGATTAATCCATTTGAAAAAGTCTGACGAAAACCGAATCATACGAAAACTGAAACAATATTTCCCATCAGAAATAATGTAAATCCAATTAATCCATTCCAGACAACCCAAAAATATTAACAAAAAAATACATTTTATAGAGAATAACTATAGTTTTACATTCAGAATACACTGAGAAATATAACTGACTAATGAAATGGATAAATGAACATTGAACATCACTTTTACCTTTATTGAAGACTCTTGTTGGCGTATGGAAGACGGCAAGGAGGGGAGAGGGAGGAGGAGAGGTTATTGTTTGGAAGGGGAACCCTTTTCATAAGGAATTCAGGTATCAAGGGCCAAGGCCCCTATCCCTGGTAACTCCTTCTTTTGTCTTTTACTGGCACTAGAACCAGCTTCAGAGTCACTGTAGCCCTGTCGCACAAAAAATCTGTTCAGAGAGGTCTGTTTGTGGCATCTCTTTAAGATTTGCCTAGAATGGGACAAGGCATTGTCATTAAACATGTTGCAGACTTGCCTTCCAACAGCTTCATCAGGGTGATATTCTTCCACAAAACTTGCAACTCACTCCACTTTGCACACATTCCCCTAAACACGAAAGGCATGTTCTCATCCTCTTCTCCCCTCTCTTTCTCCTCCTCTGAAGCAATTTCCTCAGCTGCGATCTGTTGCTGTTTCAGTTGAAGGTGTTGCAGCTCTTCAGTGGCAAGCTCTTCCCTGTGGTTCTCCACACACTCTTTCCACATCCTTGGCCACTCAAATCCAACCCCTATGGACTTCCCTCTAACCACAATAATTCTACAACAGGTGTAGGGTTGTCAGGGTCAGCCTCAAACCCTTCAAAATCCTTCTCTTGGACACATTCTGGCCACAATTGAATTCTGCCATGTTTCTTGCCGTCTTTTATCAAAGGGCTGGCATTCGGAACTTTCTTTGGCCCCATAGTGGCTTGTTTAGCAGTTGCACTCAATAAACAAACACAAAAAACAATGGATTATTATGAAATGTTTCAGATGAACACACAGGGTAATGCTCACTTGATGAGAAACAAAGCCAGACTGACTCAGAACGTATGGGATGCTTTGTGTGGGCGCAGGCAGGTGGACACATTCGGTACGGCAAACCAACGAAAACCGAGGTGATGATTGAAAACTGGGACAAAATTTTGACGAAAAAAGTCATCGAAAACTGAATTCTACGAAAACCAGGGCAAACGAAAACCGAGGTTCCACTGTACATACATGAAACTATATCTATACTGAAGTTAATGCATTGCAAATACAGTATCCCCAGGCAGCATGCTATTAAAAATATCTGTAACTGTAACTGTAACTGATTTTGTACTACAATATCTCTGTAACATGTTTATTACTGCACAGTTTGTTCTCATAATTTCAGGCTTCTTGAAGAGATAGATAATAAGCTGGAGGATAATTTAAGAAATCCTTTAAGACGTCATGTGATGAGGAGCCTCAAGGATAAACCCTCCTTGCCCCATTTCCTCCATCGCTTGAGAAATGAAGCTTGGAACCGAGGTACAACATTGAAGTTTATGCCTAGTCACTTCACCAGTCGCCGGGAAAACACCACAAGATACAACTTTAAAGAAGGAATTATACGGTTAGGAATATGAAAGATTTGTTTTGTAAATATAAAAATTTCTTTATTTTTAATTTTTTAACTTGTCATATATTTCATAGCTTACCCTAAAGAGGAAAATAGTCTCATCAATAATTATTTTCTAGCTTCCTTTCCAAAAAGGCACAGTTATTATCATTAAATGTTGACCTACCTAATTAATAAATCATCCCACTTCTGAAGTCCAGCCATTGTATTTCCCAAATGCCAAAAACAAAGTACAGCTGAACTATTTTCCTGAGTTTTTCCACAGGTATTGCCATGCTTCAGCAGCACACCAAATGCCATGAACAGTGTTCCTCTGTTCTTTCTGATCAAACATACTCTCCCTTTACTGGATGTTTTAAATTCTTTTTACACACCCTCCTTCCAACTCACCATTTTATTTTTCATGCACTTTTCAGCCTTTCCTTGATCTTTCCTTACTTCTTCCATCCACCCCTGATTTAAGCACCCTCTTTATCATTTTATCACGCTTCTTTCTGCATATCCAAACCATCATCTGCTCTTTGCACACTACCTTCACATCCCACCATTTCATTCTTCATTCTTTATTTTCTGCAGAAAATTCACATTGATCTTAGACAAGACATTTCTGTCACCCTTAATCACTTCTCTCTAACATTTATAAACTATACTTCATACCAGTACAACACCAGTTTTGGCAACCATTTTATGTACTCTTTATATATTTGTATAGAAGTAGGTTTGGTAGCCCACAACCACCCAGGAAGTACTACCGTCCTGTTCTTCCAAATGTCTGTGCAACCAAAACCTTTAACTGTTTTGCATGATGTAGTATGCTGGTTCTTTTTCTGTCTCATAAACACGCTAAGATAACAGGGATACTTGCTACTCCTACTTACACTTTGGTCACACTATCACAGACACTCACATGCATAGTATATAAAACATACATCTAGGTTTTTCCTCCCATTTCTAAATAGCTCTTGTTCTTTTTTAATTTCTTCTATTGTCCATGGGGAAGCGGAAAAGAATCTTTCCCTCCTGTAAGCCATTCGTAGGTCGTAATGAGGCGACCTAAAAGCCGGGAGCAATGGGCGTAGTAACCCATTCTCCTGTATACAGTTACTAAAAAAGAGAAGAAGAAAAACTTTATAAAACTGGTTGCTTAAATGTGCGTTGATGAAGTGCGGATGACCAAGAAACAGATGATTGCTGATTTAGAATGAAAAGAAGTTTGGATGTCCTGGCCCTAAGCGAAACAAAGCAGAATGGTGTAGGTGCGAGTTATCAGTGGGGAAAATAAATGGGAATAAATCTGGAGTAAACTGAGAGAGTTAGAGCTTAGGAGGGGTAGCAGTAATGTTAAATGATCATTTATGGAAGGATAAAAGAGAATAGATATGAGGTAAATTCAAGAATTATGTGGATTAAAGTAACGTTTGATCGAGAAGTGGGTCATAATAAGCGTGTTGCACCTGGATAAGAGGAGGAAGCAGAATGAGAGAGAGAGATTTTGGGAATGTTAAGTGAATGACTAGGAGCCCATTTTTTTTTGAAACGAAGTGAGAGAGTAATTGTGGTATGGGACTTGAATGCTAAAGTAGAGAAACTTTAGAGAGGGTGTGGTATGTAAGTTGGTGGTGCCAGGTTTAAATGATAATGGGAAGCCTTTGATTGAACTTTGTATAGCAAGGGTTAAGTTATAGGTAATACATATTTTAAGAAAAAGAGGATAAAAAAGTAGACACGTTATGCTGTAGGGCGAAATGACAGAGTATGTTGGATTATATATTGGTAGAATAACAGACAGTGTGAGTAGACTTCAGGATGTACATGTTTATAGATGGCCACAGATATATCAGATCACTTTTCTAGTTGTAGCTACCTGAGAGTAAAAGGGTAATGGTACAAGGAGAATAGAAGCATCAGGGAAGAAGAGAGGTGGAATGTTTTTATAAACTAAAAGAGAGGCAGTTATGGGTAAGATATAAACAGCTATTGGAGGATAGATGGTCTATGAGAGCATAGGCAATGGGTCGAAGATGTATTGGTAGGTTAAAAATGTAGTGTAAGAGTGTTCAGTCAAAGTTTGTGTTACAGGAAAGTGGGTGGCAGAGGAAGAGGAGCGATTGGTGGAATGATGATTAAAGAGAGTATAAGGAGAAAAATTTAGCATATGAGAAGTTTTTTACAAAGTATAAGTGATGCAAGGAGGAAGAGTATATGAGAAAACGAGAGAAGTTAAGAAGTGGTGAAGCAATGTAAAAAGAGAGCAATATGAGAGAGTGGGTGAGTATGTTAATCAACTAAATTTTGTCTGAAATAAGAAAAAGTTTTGGAGTGATATTTAACATGTTAAGAAAGCCTAGAGAACAAATGATTTGTCAGTTAAAAATAGGAGAGAGAGTTATTAAATGGAGAAGTTAGAGGTATCGGGAAGATGAAGGAATATTTTTGAGGAATTTTTAAATGTTGATGAAGATAGGGAAGCTGTGATTTCGTGTATAGGGCAAGGAGGAATAACATCTATTGTAGGAGTGATGATAGAGCCAGTTGTGAGTGTGGGGAAGTTTCTTGAGGGCAGTAGTAAAATGAAAGGGGTAAGGCGGCCGGATTGATGGGATAAAGATTAGAAATGTTAAAAAGCATTTGGGGAATATAGATTTTGATGGTTGTGCAATTATTATAAAGTGTATGGAAAAAAGGAGGGGAAGGTTACCTAGGGAATGCATAGAGCAGCATAGTTCCTTGTATAAAGGCAAAGGGGATAAATGAGAGTGCAAAAATTATAGGGGGATAAGTCTGGTTGAGTGTACCTGGTAAAGTGTATGGTAGATTTAAATTGAATGAATTAAAGAGATAAGACGGAGAATAGGTAAAAATAAAAAATAGCAGAAGAACAACGAATGCTTAGGAAAGGTAGGGTGTGTTGGACCAGTGTTTACAGTGAAACATATAGTGAACAGTAATTTCGATAAGTGCTAAAGAGTCTTTGTTGCAATTAAGGATTTGGAAAAGGCGTATGACAGGTGATAGTGGTGGCTATGTGGACAGATGTTGCAAAGCGTATGGTGTAGAGGTAGTTACTGAAAGCAGTGAAGAGTTTTAACGAGGATAGTTAGGCTCAAGTTTAGAGTATTAGGAAAGAGGAAATTTTTCCCAGTAAAAGTGGCCTTAGACAAGGATGTGTGATGTCACCTTCACCAGTTGTTGTATATTATATTTATAGATGGTTGTAAGAGAAGTTAATGCGAGGGTCTTGGCAAGAGGGTGATTTAAAGATAAAGAATCACACACAAAGTGGGAGTTTCCACAGCTGCTCTTTGCAGATGACACTGTGCTCATGGGAATACTGAAGAGAAGTTTCAGAGAATGGATGGATTAATTGGTAAGGGGTGTGCAAAAGAAGAAAATTAAAGGTGAAATACATGAAAGAGTAAGTTATGAGGTATCACAAAAGAATTAAAGGTGATGAAAAATTGAAGTATCAGATTGGAGGGAGAGAGTATGGAGGAGGTGAACGTATTCAGATATTTGGGAGTGGACGTGTCAGCGGATGGGGTCTATGAAGAATGAGGTGAAACATAGAATATGATTAGGAAAAAGAGTGAGTGGTGCACTTAGGAGTCTGTGAGACAAAGAACTTTGTCTTGGAGCAAAGAGGGAATGTATGAGAGTATCGTTTTTAACCAACGGCTCATATATGGGTTTGAAGCGGGGTGATGAATGTTGCAGCGAGGAGAAGGCTGAGCAGTGGAGATGTCATGTCGAGGGCAGAAGTGTGGTGTGAAAAATAAATGCAGAGAATTCGTAGTTGGACGTTAGGGGAGGAGTGCGGTATTACCAAAACTGTTTTCCATATTGCTGAGGAAGGGTTGTTGAGGTGGTTCGGACTGTAGAGAGAATGGAGCGAATCAGAATGACATCAAGATGTAACAGTTCTGTAGTGAAGGTAAGGCGGGTAGGGTCGGCCTAGGTAAGGGTTGGAGGAGGTGGTAAAGGAGGGTTGTGGAGTGCGAGTCTTGGACTTCCAGCAGGCATGCGTGAGCGTGTTTGATAGGATGAATGAGACAAATGGTATTTTAATAACAAGACGTGCTGTTGGAGTGTGGCAAAGTAACATTAATGAAGGGATTCAGGGAAAGCCCGCAGGCCGGGGACTTGAGTCCTGAGATGGGAAGTACAGTAGCCTGCACTCTGAATGAGGGGTGTTAATGTTGGCAGTTTAAAAACTGAAAGTGTAAAGCACCCTCTGGCAAGACCAGTGAGGAGTGAATGATGGTTAAAAGTTTTCTATTTCGGGCCACCCGGCTTTTGGGAAATCGGCCGGTGTGATAATTAAAAAAAAAAAAAATAAAAATCTATTTTTATTTTAGCATCCATTTGAGAAATTTACTAGTCTATAATACACCTTAACACCCTTCTGCAAATTTCACTCTCTCATCTCTATGATTTATCATATACATTCATCGACACAATTGCTTCAAGTATTTATATACATGAAAATCCTATTCTCACTTCCTCCATGCTCCTTCAGTCTTAACCTTCAATCTTTTCCCTCTTTGCCTGCACTGGAGATCAAATTCCTCTCCGATAACATGCATTTACATGGCAGTTGGGCTAGCAGTAGCAACATCCTGGTTGAATCCAGGCAAGCCCTGTCTAGCCTTGCCTAGGGCGGGCTTTTAAGAGTAGGAAATCTGTGCAAAAACCCATAAAGGTTATCATGTATAGACCTTTTCCCTCAACATTTCCTTGAATAATTCTCTCTCCCTTCTTCCCTTTCACCTCAGATTTATTTACCCTTCTAGTCATCCTGTTTTGTTCCATCTTCTCTAAATGTCTAAACCACCTCAGCAACCACTCATCAGCCTTTTGACTTATACTTTTAGTAGGTCCACATTGTCTAATCTTCAAGCTCTGAATTCTCGACATAATATTCACACCACACATTGCCCTCAAACGTGATATCTCTATTATCTCCAACCGCCTCTTCCTCTTCCTCCTCCTCCTCC